AGATGTGTATAAGAGACAGTATATATACAGATAGATAGATATAATAAGAATGACATATTATTATAATTATTATAATGTGTAGGCCTATATATGTCTGTTTAAAATATTAATTATTTGTATTATTGTTATTAATATTATTAGACTTGCAACAAATGAAACTATGTAGTTGCAACATAGTCAATTTCATGATGTATCGATGTCTATATCTGCTTACCTGAATCCCACCTGCAATAATGCCGGCACTGGTTGCCTTTGGACGACGTTGGGCCATTGGCAGTGATGACTTTGTCTTTCCAGGAATTACATCTGTTTTTATAAGACTCCTTTGGTAAGTTTAATCTTTTTTTCTACTACCTGTTGAGTTGTGATGTGTTGTCTGTTAGTGTGAGTATTTGTACAGGCTTTTTTTAGAAAATGTTGTGGTATAATCCTTACCTGAGACTTTATATGCTGCACAACTACAAGGAAAGGTATCATCTAAGAAGCGTCGTCTTGGAACCATGTATTCCCAAAACCCTAGATTACTACCTTGTTCCTTCTTTCATTGTATAATATTAATTGATAGGGTTCATTCTTTGTTGGTATTGTATTGAATTTAATAATAATTTGTAATTATATCGAATTTGTAAGTTGCATAACTTGGAAGATTTAAATTGTAATTTATATAAACTGTATATAAACAGTATAAATAGGTCACCTTGTAATTTTTTGTTTCTTTTATATGACTTCTTGATTGTTACATTATGAATGATTCTGCAACTTGTTCTCAGTGGTAAGGGTTTCTGTCTGTGTCTAAAGATGAATTTCCAGTATACGTTTATATTCAGACAACAACAATTTGATTTGATTTGATTGTAAATACCAACATTATTCTATTTACTGTTTTATAATCTGGAAAAACCAAAGAAGAAAAATCATTTAACATATTATTGTAATATATTGTTATACAGTAAAAGGATCTAATAACTAACCAACTTTCTATGAAACATAGACACAACAATTTGTTGGTGTTATACATATACAAAACAGGTCTCCCTCCAATAACAAACCACCACCAATTATAGACCACTTTTCAGTGGTCTCAAATTAACAAATTTCTATTATATGTAGTATTTTAATTATAGATAAAAGCTGCTAAAGACCATGGAAATCCCGGTCCCTAAAGTGGAATTTAATTGGAGGTAGACTATATTGTATATTGTATTTGACTATGAAAATCCTAAATTAGAAATGGAAATCCGGCAAGCTAAATTTGATACTTTGTGTGTTTTAGGGTCGCTGCTGTGTGTGCTGTCTACATTTCAAACAAAGAAACACTTCGTTGCCCTGGTGGGGAACTGCTGGAGATATACTTCATTGGCTTCATTGCATTGGTCAGTTTCACCATTATTCTAGAGTTGGTCATTGTTTATGTCAGTGGACAAGGCTCAATTACAAACACACACCCTCGACGATTCATGCCGCAGCTCTTATACCTTCGTCTTGTGATATTCTTCCTGGAACTTGTATGGAGTGCAGTTGGGGCATATTGGGGATTTAGCAAATGGGAAGAGAGGTCTTCCGATGAAGGAGACTCCTGTGATATTGAGGTTGTTCGTGCTGTTAAAGGCACAGTCATTACTAGCTGGATTATTTCGTTTATCATTTTGATCGCAGTAATCATCTTTTTTGACCCTCTTGGTAACCTGAATGAAGATCCCCATGAAAATACGGAGGATGGCATGGATGGTTTATCACAATCACGAGAGTTTCTGGCAACTACAAGTAATGCAGCAAAGCAAGTCTGGGAGAGGAGGTAACTTGAGAAGGTTGATCTAAACTAATCAAATTTATTGTAAAATATAACTGATCACAGATTTAAAGAGTTATCTCAATTGGTCCTTTAAAGATGAATGTTGCAGGCTTTGGGTCAAAAGGACCGCATGCCATGAGGCCCTGGTGTCATGACAACCATGTGGTCATAATAACGATGTGGTCATGGCAACCATGTCATCATAACGCCCTGAAATATCACAAATGGTGAAGTGCAAGCCCCTTAAGCTTGACGTTACTAATGCTAAAACTTTTTGTTGTTTTCAAGGTGTCGTCTGCTCTGTTGTTGTGCTGGTAGTGATGAAAATTCCCAAGATGCATTTGCTGATGTGTCTGCTTTAATGGCTGTATTTTTCAAGGTACTGTAATATAATCATAATTATTTATTCACCATGACCAGGTTCTTTTCTTTCTTTCTTTTATTCTTTTATTCAAAAAAACACATCAAAATCGCAGCCTTATGGCTGAATTGCACGATATTTACACTGCAGTACAATGAAAAATGTTAATTATCTTTTCAGAATCTTGATATTGTGCCTTCAGACATTGCCGCTGGACTAGTTTTACTGCAGTATGATCAAGAGAGGCACATACGTCGTGGAGAGCGCCCTCATATTCCTAAACGTAACATCCCAACTATAGTTCCCACTGAAGTTCCACTTGAGGTGGAGGTCCGCAAAGCCAGCCATTTTATTTTTTATGCATTAGGATGTTATGGGTGGATGTTTTATGTGTATGACAACTTACTATGTGGATTATGCAAGCTTAGTAAGAATTGTCGTTGCTGTATGTGTTGCCGTTCAGATCGTGTGTCTCAGTACGACAACTGTTGTGACTGTAACACATCAGCTGTGAAACAGCTTACTAAACTAAATGATGACGACATTGTACATATGAGCTACAAGAATAAGGCAAGTATTCTTATTAAAACATAATTATTGTGTCATTTATAATTACTACTAATGTAGTAAAAACTTATAAATTGCCAATTCTCAAAAATGCATTAAAGCCAAGTAAACATTATTCCATTAAAAAGATATACTAATCTTTTTTTCCTGGATAAACTAGTTTTGTGAATGTTACTTACTGTATAACAAGAATAATACGACTGGAAATAACATGAAATTTGTATATTTATTATTCTGATATTTCCTCACTGAATATAATATGCCCTTCAAATATATTTCCAGGCTAGAATTTAAAATATACTCTATAATGATAGGAAGTAAAAAAGGAGAATTTTATAAGTCAATAGTGATTGTATCACCGTAACTCCCTATGTTATTTTCCTATCCTGAACAGTGAACGGTTTGCTTGACTTTTTTCAGGCATTAATCTAAAATTTGTATAATTAGTTCCACTTGTGTATATACAGAATAAAATAAATAAATAAATAATTTTGTATGATAGGCGTACTAATTTGTTAATATTCTATTTGACAGATATACGAGGTCCCATTCTTTGTAGCCTTGGATCATCATGAGAAAGCAGTTGTTATTTCAATCAGAGGAACATTATCATTGAAAGTAAGTTTGCTAGTAAATTACGTTCTCTCTCATATTATTCGAATTAAATTACCCTATTTGATGTAATTATGATTTTTTTGTTTCGTATTTTGAAAAACGACATGCGTGCAGGGACCTCCAGGCGGTCCCAGCAATGGTGGCACCTAAACACCCCTTTGAAAACTCCTAATTGGATTTGTGTATATCTTTATTTAAAAAATACATTTTGTGGTATAAAGGATGCATTGACTGATGCCACGGCAGACAGTGAGAAGATGGACATTGAAGGACGTGAAATCTATGCCCACAAGGGAATCCTACGCAGCGCCACCACCATCAAAACAATCTTGACCGAAAACCAAATCTTAGAAAAAGCCTTCCAGAAAGCTAAGGTACACAGACTCATCTACACTTGAATAATAATAATAATAATAATAATAATAAAGATAATAATATTATAAAAATTATATTTTTAGCCATTAAAATATTTAATCAATTCAATATTAATGATGATAATAACTACGAGCATGAGAAAGCTAATTCCTACATTTGAGGAGGCATTTAAAGCCGACATGAGCCCTGTTGCACCCAGAAGCAGCAGCTAAAATGTCTGTGGTTAATTATAAAAGTGAGTTATACAGAGTCATTTTCTTTGCAGTCTAATGACTTCGGAGTGGAGTTGAATAGCTTAGTGGTTAAGATGGTCGCTTTCTAATCGCCGGGTTCTGGGATCAGTCCTGTGACAGGTGGACTTCTCATGACCAAAAACAACTCCACTCCCTCCTAGACCTTATAAAGGCATTTTGCTGATAAAAGCATCACATTATTATAATGCTCCTCTATACATACTATTTGATATTACATTTTGTTTAAAATGAATTTGTTTTTACATTTGCAGAGTGATGACTACAGTGTTGTGGTGGTTGGTCATAGTCTTGGAGCTGGTACTGCATCACTCTTATCAATCATGCTTAAGTCCAGGTGGCCATCATTGAGCTGCTTTGCATATGCTCCACCTGGTGGATTGGTCAGGTAAGAATGACATAATTGAACCCAATCAAATAATTTCTGTTTGTTTTAAAGCCATTTTAGACCAGCCATTCATTTTGATCTGGGCATAGAAGCATGGGTGGTTACATAGGTCTAATTTCTCAAAAGGTGGGTCTAATCTCTTTAACCCCAGGTCAAATTTTTTAAACATCCCTCTAAACAATTCGCTAGACATACCTAGCCTGTTCCATTCATTAATTAGTCACCAATAATAGCGTCCTCGGCATTATGTCAATAAAACCAGGAATAGAAAGGTAAAGGAATGAAAGTGAATTAGAAAGGAAAAAGAAAGATAGAAAAAGATAAAAGAAAGAACAGAAGGGAAAGAACAAGAAAAGTGTAAAGGAAAGAAACAAAAGAAAGGCAATGAATTGAAAGAAATTGAAACAATAAAGAAAAAGGAAAGAATACAAAAAATGAAAGTAAAGAAAAGGAAAATGAAAGAGAGAAAAATGAAAAGAAGGAATAAAAAAGGAAAATGTATTAGAAAATAAAGAAATAGAAAAATAAAAGAAGAAAAATGAAAAGTAAAAAAAGAAGTGATGGTTGGTCCATGGTGTTGGCATATTTTGGCCAGTAAAAAACTGAGCCAGATGCACTGTTTAACTACCAACATCTGCCTTTATTTTTATAAACCATGTGTTGATATCTCTTAGAATTCCTATTGTTTGGTACATATTCGCTTAATATTTAGATTTTTTTAATAATTTTAGTGATAGGAATTGTTAATGATATCAACAATAATTATTATAATATTTGTAAAACTAATTAGTCTTACAGATTTAATTATATCATTTGTTTTTAAATAGTGATGCCGGAGTGAATTATTCTGCTGATTTCATCTGCTCAGTTGTGCTGGGGGAAGATGTCGTCCCTAGGTAATGTATCAGCATAATCAATCCAACAATCCCAGAAAATAACCCATTTCCCACAAATTCAATGAGTATCATGGTTAGAAAATAAAAAATTGAGTATATATCATATTTGTTTAGATCACATTATAAGCTTTAATTTGGTCTTTGAATGGCTTCCCCAATATAAGTAGATCCAGAGGTGTGAGCATTTAAAGTTTACATGTATGAAAACCACATTTTGATAAAATTGCCCTTAAAGGTAACCTGTACAAATAATAGGACTAGAATTACAGAATATGTGCAGAGAACACTGTTTTAGTAAAAAAATTATCTTATAAAGTATATAATCATAAAATATAAGTATCAAGTTATTCAAAAACATTAAAATAAAAATTTTGTAAAAATTTGACTTGTATTTTGGCGAATATCTCAATATGATTTCACCAACAGTGCGTCTCATTTTCGTGGTGAGACACACAAATTAACCAGGTCTCCAAGAAGTGACACCCTTGCATTCATTCTGTCAGAAGGATGGTTTATTATTGTTTGTAAAGGTTGATTTAGTAATTCTATCCTTCTCAGAATGATGATTTATTTTGATGATATGGATTTTTTTCTTTAAGATTAACATTAGAAACACTCGATGATTTGAAGGAACGAATGGCATCTGTTATTAAGAAAAGCAACAGACCAAAAGTAAGTTTTAATTTTAAAACAGTAGATTTGCATTCAAATTCAGCTAACAACATAGAATAAAGAATAGTAAGCAAGGTGGAGGAAATTAGGTGAAAGTACAATGCCTAATTAAAGATTAAACACTGTTTCCTCGGTAACTGAAGGACAGAAAATGTTTTATTTAAACAATGTGGGCATAAGACCACTAATTCAAGACAGTTTAAAATGCTCAAAATATCTATTTCTAGGGGCCTATAGATGTAGGGTTTTGTGCCTAGACCTCCACCGGTTGGAAATTGTCAGACCGTCCTTGTTCTGGAGACTAGATGTAAATTACTTTCTCAAAGACAGTTACGTAATTTAAGTAAACTTTTATTCTTTCTTTTGCCTGGATTTCAACAACAACCCTTGTATTCGGCTCAACACCACACCGTCTTTCTTGACGTGACCTTCAACACATCAAAACAAATTGTACAAATTTAACAATTCTAATTAGCTATCTCAATAACAGTCCTGTTGGGCAAATCCTGGTGCGCTTCTGAATTTAAGCCCCAAGCCAGATTGCAGAAACACTGTATTGCTACACACATTATTACTGCTTAATTAGCTTTGTTAATATTTGTCATTTATAAAAGACTGAAATGAATAAATAAATAGATTTTTACTGTCTCATGTTCAGTATCAGCTAATGCTTGGGGCATGCTGGTACACAATCTGTGGTTTCCCGGAGAAGTTGCCCGACGATGAAGAGGGGAGCGGGCAGCATGAAGCATTGGATCCTCAACAGCCACTCATCGTGGATGCACCTGGATCACCCGCCCGCCAGGTGTACTCAGGTGAAGGTAGTAGCACCTCCAGCACCTCACAAGGTGTGCAAAAGATTCCTTTATTTCCACCTGGCCATTTCATTTGGATCAAAGAAAAGGACTTAACTAACAGGTAACAATATTATTGTTTTAACGTACTGTTTTCATACATGTGGCATAACTAAGATTGTTAACATTGTTAACATCTTGAAAAGGTTGGGTGGGGGCTGATGGGGCACGAAGGTGAAGAGCTTTAAACATTTCCAGTGGGGTGAGCATCTAGTGGTGCAAGCTTTTTTGGGGGTAGGGGTGCAACCCCTGGATTTCCACTGGGGGATGGTGGCTGATGAGGTGCATTTGGAAAGTGGGTGGGTGGTACATGAAGGAAATGAATGATAAAAGACGATTATTACTAATCAAGTGCAAACAGCTAGTTTTTAGTGGGTATGCCACAAAGTGTGCAGACATTCTGTCCTCCCACTTCTCTTAAATATGCCACTGCATATAAAGATTTAATCAATGTGTCATTAATTTATACAGAAAAATATATAATGAATTGATTATTATAACTACATGGTTTGTTTCTTTTTTCAGAACTTTCTGCAAAAATAAATGTTATGAGGCACAGTTTGGACGTCATGATGACTTCTCCTACATCATCGTCAATCCCAGCATGGTAACGGATCATCTACCCAACAACCTCTTCCGTGCATTATGCTACCTTAATGAGCAACAGCCAACAGAAGAGGTTTGATGTCATCATCGTCATGCGTTTAACACATTCGCTGTCAGTGACACGCCCACATCCCCACATCTATAAACATGCTGCTATTGTTTTGCATGTTCGCTGCCAGTGGTCACCAGAAGGTGAAGCCCGCCCTTGAGGTTCAGGGAAGAACCCGGAAGTAACAATCTATAAATAAATTGTTTGTTCGTATTTCATTCCAGTTGATGAGAATGATTTTCATTATGGTGGCGCTCTCTTTATGGTGGCACTCTCTTTAGGCTGTTAAAGCTTGGTTTCCATACAATCGCTACAGACTATATTCTGCAGGTAATAGTAATCATTGATTGGCTCCTTGGATGTCAGTCATAATAGGGCTTTGGCAGATACAACAGTATATACAAAAACATGATTGGGTAGAAAGCAGCAAAATCGCTATAAAAAATATCTATTGAAAAGATATATGCTTTTAACGTTATCAGTCAAATTGCATACAAGTCATGTGATCAGCATTAACCAATTAGCTTCTGTGTTTTACATATGACAAAATATTGTAGATGCTGAGATTATTTGCATTATTTTGCATTTTATTTTCTTTTCTATTTCAGGATATATATAAATACAGTATTATTTGGCAGTGTTTTAGTTTCTTTTAATGAACTACGATAATAATTGTAGGATAATAATAATTGTATTGTTGGATTGTTATTAGGAATTAAGAATTTAGTGAATGAAGGTCTGTGCAATATTTTTTTTTGTATATTATTGAATGGATAATATTGAATGTGTCTACTGCCTTTGGTGAACTGGGAGTGCCCTTTTTGCCGCCCCCTTGATCCCCTACGAAGTAGTCACTGTACGAGGGGAGATATATGATTTCGGATCCCTTTAATAATGAATCTAAAAAAGTACCCAGCTGTTTTTAACTAAAGTGGTATTTTTATATCAAATATTACTCAATTCTCATTTTGGTTGGCGATGCCTTATATAGGATCTGTGGCGAAGTACAGTATATGCAATTTTAACAATTATTAACATTTTATTAATAACGGGCGTATTCGACTGGTTCATTTCGTTGACTACAAATTTTCGCTGAGTATTATTTTCATTGACAATGAAAATTAACGTAAACCAGAGTGTATTAATTGGCATTAAGTTATTCACATGACCAAAACAAACATGGCCGATTGGTGAGTGTAGAACAACATTTAAGTGAATAGAACTTAGATTAAATTTCAGAAAATAGAAATTATATTAACCCACATAAAGTCAAACAATAATTGTAGGATAACAGAATTCAAAAACTGGATGAAATTTTTTTTTTTTACAAAAACCCATACTGCCACAACCTGAAGCAATCTTGATTACACAGTGTGTATTGCAGTAACTATGCAGCCATTTTGTTTTGTCGAGTATTTACAGGTTTTGTTATTCGACTGGGAAGTAGGATTTTACTGCTCTGCAGGTGGGCATGGTTTAATGAAGAACGACCAGTCGAATACGGCCCATTTTAGAGCATGTGGGCCTGGGCCCAGTCAAAACTACTGCTCTATTTTACTCCATTGTAAACCATCCAAGTGAAGCCCTTTCCCGATGAGATTTAAGAATATAGGATGGTAAGAACTGTGCTCAAAATAACTGCTTGCCTCTGCAAATTTCACATTCCAAAACACTGAATATTCTGCAGAAATCTAAATGTAGAATTATGGCTGTGGTGTCTATCCTTCTAAAAAGCTTGTCAGCTTGTCAAGTAACATGGTTTTACTTGGCTTAATAAATTTTTTAATATTGCTACTTTTGAAGATATTCTGATACAGACTTTTTATTTTGTAATTTATATATTTTTGCTATTTGCTTGATAAATTGTATTTTTTGTGAGCCAGCTGAATTTATTATTTTGGTTTACGGAAGAACAGAGTAATTGATTAAAAAAAGATTAACGAATCAACAAGTACTGTATGTTTTCTTTTGTATTTCTGTAATTTAAAAAAAACCAATTGCATTTTTGAAGCCTAATAAATTAATTTTATATGAAATATTTCCATTAATACTTTTAGTATTGTGGAAGCAATGCTGTTTCCACGGCAACAAGTACAACATTGTCACCTCGAATAAACAGTTGATTTGCATGTCTTCTACGGAAGTCCTCTGGTTTCAATTTCACTTTACCACACTTATCTGCTGCCCTCAGTGATGGTGCATCTACCACACTGGACACATGTTGTTTTGGAGAAATATTTGGAATTGCATTTTTTATTTGATTATTCAAATTGATGTCAAGTTGATTCAATGATTTATTGATTTCAAGTTCACTTGACTTTGATTTCTGCAGTTCAAGGTTGAAATATTCACTAGATTGTTTTCCTATTGTGTCTTTATCTTTAACCACCGTCTTTTCAGTAGGGTTTTCAACATGCTTTTCATTGATCTTTACTTCAGTGAGGGTTTTAACATGCTTTTCATTGATCAATTCTTCACTTTCTATATCCACTTTATGGGTTTTAACATACTTTTCATTGGTCGATTCTTCACTTTCTATTTCTCCTTTACGGGTTTCAAAATGCTGTGCATTATTTTCTTCTTTATTTCTTTTTTCTGTATCCTCCTCGTCATCCTGACTAAGTTGTTCTTGTAACAGCGCAAGTCTGTTCTCAAGTCCAACAAAATCTTCGCCTCTTTCATTTGATTCATAGTCTTCGTCTTCCTCCTGTGCAAGTTGTTCCTTCAGTGCATGCAATTCCGCCTCCATGTTCTCTAAGCCATCACTATTGTCACTGCCCACCTCATGACAGCTCCATTTAGCCTCCACTTCTCTATTTTCATCAATATCTCCTGAACTGCTTTCTTGGTCAACTGATCTACTTTCTGAGTCATTATAACAACTTTCATATTGCTCTTGGTCTGAATTAGTTGAACTTTGTTCTCCAACTGCCAATGTTTCCTTGATAACATTTAGTCTGTGACCATTTTGTCTGCTGTTTGTCTGGTATTTATGTTTTGCTTTTTTCTGTACTGGAATTTCTGAGCTAAATTCAAGAATCTGAAAGATTCATATTTAAATTCATAATAATAATGTGCATCTGTTTATACTACAAGTATGAGGAAAATGGAAGGGTTAGGCTAGTTTAAATTGCTTTTCATTTATTCAAGCAAATGCACATTAAAAAAAATTCCAACATGAAAGACCACTTATAAAAATTACAATTATAACAATACAATAATTATAGCTAAGCATGATAAAAATAAAATAGAAATATCCATATGTAAAAAACTTTCATTTCATTTCTCTTGTTAAGGATGAAAAAAACTACACTAGTTCAATGGGATTGCCAAAACAATCAAGCAGCTCTAGGGAGGTTCTAAACTCTAATATTAAAATCTACTTAAAGACCGAAAAACAAAAACACAATTATTGATTCCGAATCACAGTTAGAATTGATGTGGGAGCTTCCAAAAAATCTTAATTCTGGCACTCTTCACAAAAAACAATTAAATAAGTACAAATTTACCTTTGAAACTGTTACTGATTCTTCGTGGTAAAACCTTTGACCTTTTGATGGTAATTTGTAGATCTCATCCACGTCTCTCAAAACCTTAATACAGTATAAATAAAATATTGTCAAAAAGTTGTAAAATTGTGCTTTAGTGTAATGAAAGCTCCAATTAACACAAATCACAGCAGTCACATTATCACTACACAGTGGCATACTGTATATCTAGGAATCTTGAAATGGGGAAGTTGATGTGGGGGCTCGGTGATTAAGTGAGGGGGCACAAAGAGGTAAATTTTAACTACTTTTTTTGCTTTGGACATTTTCAATGAGGGGAGGGGAGGCGCACCCTCCAGATTTGCCACTGTCACTACAGCGTTTTAACTGCCATTCCACTGTGCAGTTCTCACCAGCACAGTCGGAAAGGCGCCCTGAATTCAACGACCAATCAGCGTGGCCAAAAGATGTCTGCAAGAGTATAGCCATTTAAAGAAAACAGGCTTTATAATTAGAAATAACACATTTGCTTTGTTTAGCATTTACATTTTGGTTGTATTTTATGTCCATTTGCTCATGTTGGTTCAACTTGTGAATTGTAAGTGTTTGTACCGACTTCTAAACAATATCTGATACAAACAATTTGAATAGTAATTATCATTACGGTATTAATTTTTTTGTCTTACCAAGTTGAAAAACTTATCAAAAGCTTCAATAAAACCAATACAGATTCCTCGGATCCCTTTAAATGAGCGAATCACCACACGTACACGTAACCTATTCTGCATACACTCATGCAGCACTTCCATATGACCTGCTGGTGGATCTGATATAGTAAAGAAAGTATACTGTATTTGTATTGCATGCTGTGTCTTCAGTTGCTAAGTGATTGGAGCTGTAGCTTAGTGGTTAAGATGGTTGCCTTCAACTATCATTACATTAACTCTGTTAATTCTGCAAAAATGGACCAAGGGGAGTGGAGCCAAAAACATCCAGAGGGAGAAAACAAAAATAAAATGTTACTGGTGAATGTAAACAATGTAGTAATTGGATAGTTAAGTGCTTTAATTTTATTAGAAAGAAATATACATATCTTATTTTTGGCAGCAGTGGGTGTAATAAAAATAAAGAAAAACATTTATTTTTTTCTGAAATTTCCATTTTTTCGTGATGGTGGGTGCACTAATTGGAAAAAAATAAAAAACTATATTTATTCAAAATCATCATTATTGATGGGTGGCAGGTTCACTAAACTTGGTATAAAAAAGTCCTGCTTAATGGTGATGTGATGATGAATTTTACGATGAGAGTGTCATTTCCAGCTATTCAGAGGTACTATTCAAATCTTCACACCTCAGCTCCAACCATGGAGAAGTCACGACTGTCTCAGGAACCTTTCAAAACAGATCTGCACCCTTGTATACAACAATATCATACAAAACTATACAGTGCTATGTAAGAATGCAAGAGTGTTTACTTCAATTAAGCAAATTACCTTGCATTCGTGTCATTACATTAATCTCTACTCTCTGCTTCCTGCGAACTGGTATCAAATATTCTTCTGAAAGTATTTTTTCTTTTCCCACAGTTTCCACTTTCTTTTCTTCTTCCTGTTGAAAAAGAAAAAAATCTTGAAGTTTTTAGAGGAATGGAACATTGACCCACAAAATATCTTGAATATGAATCTCAAAAAATATATTTAGATTTTAAATTGCTAAATGTGTTTGTAATTTTTAATAAATGCGCTTTGAAGTAACATAAATGTTATCAATTTGAACATAGAAATTAGTATAATGTAAAATATGTTTTACCAATAATTTTACAGCAAAAAATGATAGAAATACTTCCAGTCACTGGAAGTGTTTTATTATATTTATTATAACTATTCATATAATTAACTATTCACTATAACTGTTACTGTACACATTGTTTAAATTCAATAATTTCTATGCTCAAGTTAATAATTTGTAAGTTATTACAAAATAAGCATGTTTTTGTCATTTTTCAAGGGACAATACATCGTAAATGCACATTTATAATACATTTTAATTAATTTCGAGGGAAAGATCATTCCTGGTTTATCTTGATTTCTATGCACTTTACATTGTTACATTGTGTTCCATTACATCAAACCCCAGTGAACCCACAATTCCCTAAGGGAGAATCTTATAATGTTGCAGCTATTGGTGGTCATGCCTACTCATGAACTCAAGATGGGGGGGAGGCGGCGGCAGCAGTTGGAGAAAAAAAAGATATTCAAATTTAAGTCCCAGTGTGCTATTTCCGGCCATCTAGGTGCCATAATCATAAATGTTCTTACATCAGCCCCTAGCATGGTGGGGATGAGGTGGTCTAGACCCTCAAACTGTGAAAGTTCCTCCCTGGGAGTCAACCCCCTCTGTTCCGAATTTCTGGATCTGGCAAAGGATATCATTAAAACTCTTCTGTGAAAAAGGGCAACCTTATGTAAGTGCCTTGAATAAAGGGCACAAGCAAAATTCAAAAAGCAACTATTTCTATATACTGTACAAATTTTTTACAAAAAAGCTAAATAATTCACCTCACAAATATATTCAAAACAATACTATCTATTATGCCTTTAGCCTAATAATTATTTAAAATTGTGATTTAAGTCATAACTTCTTGTACTAGGCTAGGTCTCTAGTACCTCAAATTCTAGCTTATGCTTATTTAACGTCAATTAAGACTCAAATTGAGTGTGTTTTAACTGATGTGGGTTGATGTGTAGGTCCCATCCCAGATTTTATATTTCATCGGTGTACCATGTTATATATACAGTTGAACTTGCCTAATTCAAATCCAAAATAGCATTGAAAAATTGTTCGACTTAGATAAAATATGACTTACAGATCGTTAATTATTGGAAAACACAACAATTTGGCATGTGAAATAGGTCGACTTAGAAATTATTCGAGTTAGGCAAAGTTGACATAGGCAAGTTTAACTGCAGCACCTTCTTGCCCTGGTGTTGTTCAATATTAGGCAGTGGCTCATGCCGATAGTCTACAGGTTATGCTTACACCGATCTATTGAGTAGCAAATAGCTACTCGATTTATTCCCAAGTTGAGGGGACCAGACTATGAGAATAGGCTAACAAGACTAAACCTCTATTACAGAATGAAGAGAGCATCTGTTATGTAGGTTGTTAAAAATTTTAATGGTTTTGATATTGTTGGGAGTTGAAACGTTTTTTGAATTGTCATCAGCTGCATTTACTAGGGGACATTCACTAAAATTAAAGAAACCAAGAGTTAAAACTGTGTGGGGAGAACAAAGTTTTAGTGCGAGAGTAGTTAACAATTGGAATAGTTTATCGGTGAAAGCTGTGGATTCACAAACAATTAACCAATTTAAATCAAGGCTAGAACACTGGCTAAATCACTACCATAAGTTTAAATCATATGTAAGATATTCAGAGGGGTGAATAAGCATTTGCTTTAGCTTCAAGACCAAGGTAAATCAAGGTAAGTATTAAGCAGACAAACAATGATTACAATTCATTGAGCCAGTAGTAGTACTGCCGTTTTTGTCAAAAAACTGGCTAAAATTGGCTAACTGCCAATTTACAAATATTTTTTCAGGACAGGTTGTTGTCCATGAAAATTAAAACAATAATTATTTACATTATGAACTTGATGTACAGTATTAAACTTTAAAGCTGATTATTGCAAGATTCAATAAAAAATGCTATGACAAGAGAGAGGGAGTGACAAACTGATAAAACACAGAGAATGATTGAACAATAGGCAGATAACATTTCAAAGTGCAGGCAACCGGACTTTTGTACAGCAATCTGCGCATGCTCAATAGATCGGATTAATAAGCTTTTAATGTGGAATTACGCCTCGGCGTAAACATAGCTCTGTTTCTGCATATTTAATATTAAACTTATTACGAATAATACTAAAAACAAAAAAAGATATATATAGCCTTTATTTAATAGGCTAAAAAAAATAAAACTGTATTAGGCTAGGCCTACTAGAGTAGTATTAGTAAACATACATAACTCAGGAGACATTCTATTACTATAAAATCTCTTTTGTAAAGTAGAATTGTTGTCAACAAAACATAAACAAAGACCATGGTCCAGGCCCGATGTCTAGTTTGTCACAAACACCGATGCACTGGTCCCTGGAGGGAGTGTAGTAGCTAGGCCTAGGCTAGCCTGACCTCCACTGTCAATGAGGTTGCTCAGCCAGCCCAGTCACTTTCAGGAACCATGCTCCTGATTGATTGGACTGTCTGCTGTGTAGCTTGCATCACACCTTTGGTTTTAATTTGGTCCCGTCACACCCATAATCATCGATAGATTGGGATTCCTCAGCGTAGGGACACGGAATCTTGACTCTACTGGAATATAACGCTTTAAATGCGTTAAAGTCTGATGAAAATAGATCTAACTCCGGGTCATCTTCCGGAATTTCGCCTGCCGCCTCCATTTTGAACTGTACTATTATTCAGGCCTCATGGTGGGGCTGTTCAAAATCTACCGACCTTTGAACCACCGTCAGCTTGGCAACAAGATGCTACACGATCGTCCTGTGGATCGTCGTTTACGTTTCTGTTGTTAATTTGCTAAAAAAAATGCCACCGAAAAAGGGTAAAGGAAAAAAGAAAGCAAAAAATGCTGAACCTGAAGGGGAACCAGATAAGCCAGCTCAAGCTACTGAGAAAGAAATCTTACTAAAGCAGGAGTAAGTTTCTTCGGTAACTCGGCATGTCTTCCCTATTTAGCCAGGCCTGTAGACCTAGGCTAGGTTGGTAGGTAGAGAGCCTAGAGGGCCTCGCCTAGCCTAGGCTTAGCTACCCTAGCTAGTTAGGCCTAACCTACTCTTTCACTCACTCAGTCAGCGAGCCTATTTATAATATTAATATAATAATAATATCTCTAGGCCAGATTTTATTTTTGCCAAGTTACTGTCAATCAATGTCAACTGTATTGTGTTAAATATTGGAAATAATGTTGAATGTCAGTAGGCCTACTAGGCTGTAGGCCTACCTGCCTATATATGGCCTGATTGATTTTAAACTAATTAATTTCAGATTAGATTCCTTGACTGAAGAATTGGCTGGTTTGAAAAAGAGGGTTGATGAGCTGTATCCTTTCATAAAATTTTATTTTTCTAATAATAGTGTATTAATATTTTATTTAGATGTACCCATAAACATTGGCACACTATGAAACTGTATTATCACCAAACAAAGGTTCATCTGTAACTCAAAATAGGAAAAAGTGCAAATGAACAATACAGATTATCAAATGAAGACAACTAAGATCTGACACGAAGTTAAAATTTACCAACACCCTAAACAAAGCTAAACTTTACTCACACTCTATAGAACACTAAAACTTATCCTTACCTATGTGAGCAATACTAAACATTACCCCTTCCACATTTTCTCTAACATTATTTACTTGTACAAACCTCCCTCTTTCTCTCTCTAAACAATTATCCTAATACTTAAACCCATTCCTCCACCTGTTTTCTGAAACAGGAATAACTTCCTCCTTCTTTCCTCTTTCTCACCGGGAAGCAGAACTGTATAGGTTATTACCTAGTTTATTATAGCACAGTCTCACTGAACTAATCAACTTTGTTGCCATTATATTAATTTCTTTAATTGAATGGAAAGACGTCGTGAAAATGAATGGTTACAAGAAGAAGCACATAAGACAAGAGTTGAAAGTGTGAGTAAATAATTTGAAACACTGTTATGAGTGTGCTTTTCACCTCATCTATCTTTTCTGCATCATTTACTTGTTTTACTTAAGTACCTACGTTTTTCATTTCACAATTATGCTTTTACCTTTTAGTTATTTTTTTGCATCCCCTTCACCCCTATCCCTTTTCCCTGTCTTTTTTGCGTCATTTTTTTTATTCGTATTATTACCTACCTAACTCTTTTTCATTTAAACTATATCCATATTTCACCTCACATCCTTTTTCACTTCACCTATCCATTTTTTGCACTTCAGCTCGTAGTCATGAGATTAAAAACTGATTTAAGATTTGAACCCATGACACTAAGGTTAAAATGCTGCTACATTACCAAATAAGTCACTCCTTCACTCCACAATTACATTTTACTAAAACAAAAAAAAAGCAGTGATAATCAGTTACGACACCATGATTTGTTTTTTCTTCTTTTGCTACCAGCGATTTTGCTTTTCATATTTTAATTATGTTATAATTACTTCCTCGTGATTAAATTGTTTTCCAGCATGAGTACATGTCCTATATGTCAAAAAAAGCTCACAAACGACAGACAACAATTATTACATTGAGCGATCAAAATCAGGAAGAGATTCGCCAGATTAACCTACAGAAAGAGGCTATGTTGATGGATTATGAAGCCAAGAAAAAAGGTGAGATGTAAATATTCGTCAGCCCCAGAGTCTACGGATGTTGGGTTATGAAAAGAAGATAAAAAGTGTATACATAATTCATGTTGTCAAGCGATTCCCTGACAAATTTGACATAGGATAATACCGTACAAAAAGTGTTACAAGCCATGACAAATGTCATTTAAAACTAATTCTATGAAATTTTATTCACTACAATAGCAAGCAATTGTTCAACAATTTCCTGAGGCAATTTGTATGCAATATTTTATACTTTTTATTAATAATTTTATATTGTGAGAGAAACAATTATTTCATGGGCTGCCGTTTTGTAGTTTTACTATACCTGAATAAATAAAAATATTTAAAAAATCAAGTTTTGTAGACTATCCACATTGTTATATACATGAATAAATAACAAAAATAAAAACAAGATATGAACCCGAAAGAACCTCATTTTCTACACAATTAGCCCAAAAATATGTTACTCCAAAATGTGTAGTTTACAATTATTATTAAATGAATTAGAAGAATTGCATTGTCATAAAATATTGTATGTTTTTTACTAACATCTATTTATTATCATAAACAATTTCTATATGTTTTTTCCTAGTTTTGCGCGATGAACTGATGGAAAAGGACTCCGAACTTGCCAAGACTAATAAAGAGCTGCAGGAACTAGATGAATACAAGGTATGTCGTGGAAAATTTCCCCCCCCCCAATTTAAAAAAAAATGTTTTATATTAGATATTTTGCTTGTCTCAGCTCTATGGTACAGCAAATAATTCTAGTTAGAAATCACTCTTTCAATGAACAACTATGAATTTTAACATTTTGTTGTACTTTTCATAATTTTGAATTTAACAGGATATGAAAAAATGATAATGATGATGGGTGCCTTTATTAAGCAGTAGTTGAATTGTATATTGTAATAATATTTGATTGTGTCTTACTCTGTATTGTATATTTAATATTTTGGACTACAATGGAAATAAGTTTGCCTGTCCGGTTCTTTATTGTGTTTTTATCTATATTAAAAATTTTAAATTATATTAATAATGTATTATTAAATTAGAATAAGTCGACTCACCTTATAATTATTATTTTGTTGCCAACATTTGTTCCTGTGTAACCAACCCTTCATAGTGACCTATGCCTTGTGTTCCTATTTGATCATGGTAAAAATACCATGCTGACTTTTTAATTGAACCTCTATATTGATAGATTTTATTGATTTTTTTATAGCAACTACAGGAAGATCAGGTGAAACGAATCCGTGACCTTGAAAAGGAAGTGATGCGTATGCGCGGTAAACATACCGACACAATTCAGAAGCTCAAATCCAAGTTCCTTGCTGAGAAACGTGAATTTCAGCAGGAATCAGATGGCAAGATACAGCAGGTTGCTCAACAGGCCAATAGGGTAAAGCTACCTATTTAAAAAGCAAATGTCTTATAACACAGAAACAATAATAAAGAAGTTTATTATGTATTAGGGAATTGGGGTTAGGCGAGTCGAACCATGGCCATGCGGTTAAGGCAGGGTGCTGCAACCTACAACCATAATATCAGCGCAAGTACAACTATTCTGGAGGTGGAACTTCTGTGATAAAGACTCTGTAGGCCCAGTGTACACAGTTAGCTTGTGTGCCAATTGTGTACAATTCCTTTCTACAAATTTCTTCTTCCCTAAGGGTCACATCATGTGCGATTAGCTGCTAAGAGACGCACTTTCGTCTGTCCACAACGACAGTGGCTGAGTGGACCAGTACACCCTCAAAGTTGTGCAAACGGAAGTGCGTCTCTTGGCAGCTGATCGCACATGATGTGACCCTTAGGGGAGAAGAAAGTTGTAAAATGAGTTGGTCCACACCTGTACACATTTCAGCTTAGTTAACTTAAAGCTGCAAATCACAGGTTATTTCCTACTTTTACCTATCAAATTATCTTTGCTATATTTTGGCAGGGAGGGTGCTATATGGACTATATATCCACCTTATAAAAAATTAAATTGATATAAAATATAATTATGCAGTATATATACACAATCTATTTGGTATCACTTTTTTACATAACTTCTATTTTCTTTTCTTTTAGGAAGCCCTGATTTGCCTCCAAGACCACACTAACAAAATCAAGCAAGAAAACCGTGAACTGAGGCACGAGCTGCTGAAGCTGATCCGAAGATCTCGAGCTTTGCAAGAACACAAGGCGGACTTAGAAGAACAGAAACGGCAACTTCTGTGTGAGAAACAATATGCTGATGATCTGAAGCGACTACGTACCACTCGACAACATCAAGTCCTCACATCATTTGGACTTATCGATAAAGAAAACAATTTGAAACAGGAAACTCAATGAATTTTGAACTTATGTGCTTGGCTGACATACACCTCCCACAACTCTTGTACTTCCAATTGCATGTGGACACACGGATAAAAACATTGTCCCTTATTTGCCTAATTCTCAATATGCAGGTTAATTGTGGAGCCAAGCGATCAGACTCTAATTAAAGCCCTGGGATCCAGTAGGGGCACGGGGGCACATGTCCCCCTGTTTTTCAAATTATTATGAAAATTTCAATGCATACCAATGTTATGTGCTACTCACTTATACCTCTCAGCCAACCGCTCAGCTTCACTCTGAGATGAGTACATACAGATCAAGGAATTATTCCACAAATGATGCTTGTGTGATATTTCAATAAAGGATTTAATGAAGATGTAATTGCCATTCAGTTGTGTGTTTCTGCCAATTGACTACAGGAGTAGGCCTAGTCCAAAAATAGTCATATTAAACTGTAAAATGATTGTTTGATTAGAAAAACGGTTGTGAAGGTGATAGGTATAAGCCCAGCGCTCCACTAACCGTGCACTACAAAAAGGAACAACATTGCGTCCACAGAGAAAAGTGGGATAAAATTCATCATTATCATGAACTTTTATTTATTTATTTATTTGTTTTTTTAACATGTTTATAGTCTTAATATGTCTAACTGAAACAGGCAAAGGATTCCAAAGATGTGGAGCTACAATAGTAAACGCTCTATCCCCAAATGAGCGATGTGACTTTTGCTGATGTAGAAGCAATTTGTCACTAGAGTGCAAGTTACATCCAGGAACATAAGGCCATCCATACACGCAACTCAGAAATGCAATTTCAAAGTAATTCTAAAGACATATGGTGCGTCATGGATGTTAAACGAAAGGTAAATTTGTGTATCAGCATAAATGTGATAGAACTGTATTTGCAAATTATATCCCGAATTGTTTAGTTTCAAACTTTTAATCAACCCTCACCCTCCGAGTCTTTGCGTACTATTAATTAAACATGCTGTTTCTATAGAGAGAGCAAACTTTTAATCAACCCTCCCGATTTCGGAGGTATTGCGTACTATTAATTAAACAAGCTGTCTCTTTTATATAGAGAGCAAAACTTTACTTATACCCTCCGATTTTTTGCATATACTATACGCGAAAATTCCGAAATCAGAGTTTTAAACATGATCGACCCTGATTTTGGAGGTTTTGCATACTATTAAAAAAAAATTTCTTATAGTACGCAAAACCTCCGAAATTCGGGGGGTTCATTAAGTTTTGAAAGGCTTATTTCGGAGTTTTCGCGTATAATACGCAAAACTCCAAAAAACGATGGCTTGATTAAAAGCTTTGGAACTACGATTTCAGAGTTTTCGCATATAAGTACGAAAAATATCCGAAATCGGAGGGTTGATTAAAAATTAATTTCGGGAATACGCCCAACGTTACAACTGTGTAAGAATAATCCAATTCAGCATTAATGAAATGTAAGGATATCTTCTTGTACATCCTTACATTTCATTAATGTAATGTAATGTAAGGATATCTTCTTGTACATCCTGAGTCAACAAGTAGGCAGATCTTTTGAACTGAAGTCCTTGATAGGGAACCAAACGGATGCAAATTGATGAAAAACGCATTTTAAGAAAAGAACTAAGGATTTAATGGTGTACCCACATGTTTCAGGTGTTTGTGTATTAAAAATGTTGAAACTCCAAAATCAGAGTTCAGGCGGCGGGCGCAACCACTCGATTCAGAGTAACTTACCTTACTCATTTAATATACATTACTAAAACAACACGTTTGGTATTTGAGTGCATGTACTGTATAAACTTAGATCAGCATCATTCCCCATTTAATACACAATATTTTTTGGGGGAAAATTAATGAAATTTGCCGAAATAAATCTTGCATTGATAACATTTTTGGCATCAGATAGAATTTCAGAGTTTTGACTTCTTTATTTGTTCAGCACACAAGAAATTGTTGATCCTTTCAACTCTACAGTCTGTAAGGTCGACACTCACAAACTCTTTAGCGCCCTTAAACTTGTGTAGGAATGCATCAATTTGATTTCGTGCTTTTCCAGGCAAGCTGTTGTAGTAATCGGTGATGGACTGCAGCATCCAAATTGGATATGTCATACTCCCTCTAGTACTTATCACATTTCCAACTTTGAACTTATGCATTCCAAGATTTCGGGGAAGTTTCTTTACATCATGGTGCTCCTAATAAAGAAATATATTAATAAAAATGAGAATTTATTTTTTGCTTGGTCATACATAGCATTGTAAACTGATAGGTTATCACTGTATGATGTGGTAAGAAACTTGTAATTTCATCAATAGGAGACTAGTTGATAAGTAACTGCAGGCAGAGGAGACGAAATATGCGCATGTAGAAATTACATTTGAGTGATGCTATTAATAGACCTTGAAACCTATAAAATCAATTAAGTAAGCCTTTAAAGCCCCTAATTGTCATATTTTCGCCCTTGGACTACTTTTTAAACATTTTGAGTGATGCCCGACCACGGCCACTTTGCTCACATAAACTTGTATCGTAAAAATTTAAAGTAGCCTACCAATTGAGCCAAATCTAAATGTCATTTGACAACAAATAAATCATGCACAATACTGTGGGCCTCTGCTCCCAGCAGGTAATTCAGCACCTACCACATGGATGCCCTCACCCACAGTGCAAATCAATCAATTAGTTCCACTAAGTTAGTTACAATAACAACAATGACCACAATAGGCATTTAGTTCCGCATTCCCAATTTCTGCGCCAAAACCAGCCTAGACCCCCTGTACTCTGTTTCATTCTATTCCCCTCCTCTGATATCCTCCTGATTGGAGTGAGACACCAAAATATGACCAGAATTGAACAGCCATTCACTTGGGAGTCCAAAAATGTACTGGTGGGCCACATGATTCTACTTCCCCTCCCCAGTTAGTATTGTCTTATTATAATCCTACCTTCAAGTACACCCTTAAGATATTGCAGTTATCGAGAATCTCAGGAGCTTGTTCTGTGAATATTGTTGAGAGGATCGGAAATAGTGTTTCTGGGATTTGGTCATCTGTTAGGAAGTCCTCTTGACTGGCCTCAAGTGGATCTAGTACGATCTTACCATCCTTTACAGAATGTGTGTACAACATCCTGTCTTTGGTAAATTGGTTCATTTTCTCAATCCAAGAGCATACAAGAGGTGCTTGCTGCTTCATGATGTAACCTATTCAACAATTTAAAGAAAAGCAGTGTAGTACTCTATCAATAACATAACAAGTTCAGGGGGTAACTAGGGTTTTATGTGCCAAGGGCAAGAATGGAAATGACATCCTTTTCCAGCTTAGTACAGTAGTTCTTTGTTCTAAGCATGTGAATGATTAACATGAATGTAAACATATCTACTGTATGCTATTATACTTAATAACTTAAGTACAACTTTGACTTAAGCTCTCACCTGGAATCGCTATATAATGTTATTCAGGCTCATTTTCGTGCCCCTCCCCTCCCCCTGTTGATAACCCTCTGATTAAGCTGAACAAAATTAGGAAAGATTTTTGCTTAATTGATGCAACTGAATGTGTGACAGATACCATAACTGGTTGAAAACCTTGTACAGTAGAACCTCGATTTTACGTATGGGACCGGAGGGCGTACATAAATCAGGAAATTTGTAAAATAGAGGTTGGGTTAAATTTGTGGTAACCCTTGACCTAATACGTACGTAATGCTCAATATACGTGTATGAACGAACGATGTTACCTACTAGCTAGGCTAGACCAAGCCTCTAGGCCTACGAATAAAACCATGTGTTTAGTGTTTTTATTCATCACTTTACGATGTCATAATAAAGTGTTCAAATAAAACCGTGTGTCTAGTGTATTAATTCATCACTTTATATCTTTTATAACTAAAGAACATGAAAATATTGTAAGATTACATATACGACAAAGGTATAACTTGGGAATTCCCCTTCATGCCTATTTTAAACAACAGAGCTGTGGTGTTGTCTGGGCCTGTTGAGACAAACTAAACCCATGTGCGCAGTACTGGGCGAGCCAACCAATTGGCGTTCGTGTACGTGAAACAGCAACCATGTGCACTGCACTGGGCGAGCCAACCAATTAGCATTCGTGTACGAAACTATGCCTACTCAGTTTCGTGTAGAAAATTCGACCAGACAAGTGTTTCCATGGTTTGCCACACGAAACTAAGGAGGAAAGCAATTATTTTGAGCACCATCGGTAGTTGTTCATCTCATTCAGTTCATGTGGTTTTAGATTATAACAACCCGGTATTAGACTCAATCAACGTTGCTGTTTAAAGAAAATACGTTGCATTTTGGTTTGTTTATTGTTACAGTTTATTGTTATAGTCTTTTTACTTATGGTTGCTCTGAAAAGGCCGTTTGCTTTGAATATTTTCTGGGTATTTGATGACGTCATTGTCGATACGAGGCGTACGTAAAACCGAGGGTTCGTATAACTGGGGTACGTACAAACGAGGTTCTACTGTATATGATAAGCATAACCTTGGACGTCAAGGAATTCAGGGGCATATCCAGAATTTTTTGCGTGACGGGGGTAACAATAGGGAGGGCGGCACAATATGAATTGCACCTCAGCCCAACCATGGTTGAATCCATCCCTGAAACTAAAACAAATTTCACTGCTTTACCTGGATAGGGATCCCTGTACAGATGAGCATACAGCATTCCATGAAATGCAAAATCAGCAATACAAGGTTTGTAGCCAAGTAGGAATGGATAAACTTCAAAATGCTTGCTTAGCCAAGTTAGCAGCTCCTGGTATCCCCTCTCAATTTCAGGTTTGGTTTCCTTATTGACCCCTGTAATAATTTTATTAAAGTTACCATTCTATTCTATTCTATAAATAATAATATCAAGCATTTGTATCGTGACAGTATTCTTTCTGAGAAAACACTCACGACACGTTGACTAATAAAATCATTTAATTTGATAAATAGGATGTTATGAGCACAATCAAAATGTCCAATTTCAATTTTATCTATTTTACTGTTTTTACATAAACCAGCACATACAGTATAATGTAAAGGACATAAATACTTTTACTTTATATTATTTTTATAGAAACTTATGCCCTACACCAACTATCAAATATTTTTTTATAAGCTTACCTAAAACAGGTAACATGTTAGAGAACCTAGCCATTGCCATCTCAGCTAATTCCCGCTGTGAGGCTGGTGATTCCTTTGGAAATGCTGTATTTCCAAATTCTTGTTTGATAAAAGGCATATTTTCTTTGAAGGACCACCTGTAAAAATTATAAATACATATAATGAAAGGTATATTATTTAAATTGAACTATTAATAAAAATTTCTGTTTATTATTATTATTATTAATTATTATCTACTTTTAAGAACCTGAGGAGAAGTTGAATAGCTTGGTGGTTAAGATGCTTGCCTTCCGATTCCAGGGTTTTGGGTTCAATTCCTGTTCAGTGTTACAGGATTTCTTCTCACGACCAAAATAACTCCACTCCCTAAACCTCATATTGAGATTTAGTTTGTGTAAAGCATCGTGTGCATTGTGTATAATTAAATAAATTATACACACAGTTTTTGGTTCGCTGTCGTAATAATTTATGTACGAAAGTGCGTTCTTCAGGCCTATTGGGTCATTGATCCATGAAAGAAAGACTACTATGATATCTAATTACTCATTAATAATATATTGCCTGTCTTTGATTTTTTTCCCTCTATGACAGGCCTAAAGAATGAGATAAAATTACCTAACCATTTTTCAAGAGGGTGAAAACCTTGAATTTGAAGACTCCTCAGAAGTCGGGAAAGCTCATTTCGTCCATCCAGAAACCCCTTTCATTTTGGGGTTTTTTGGAAACATTTTGAACCCCCCTATTTTAAATCCTGGATCCGACCCTGGCGTGTGTATGTTTGTCTTTGTGAATGGAATTGTCACCTACAAGTAGAACAGCGATATATTCCCTATTGACAATCATTGGTGCATGTGGTGTGCGCCTAAATTAATAATAATAATAATAATAAATAGTAGTTTTTGTTGACATAATAAATAAAATGTGATACCTATAATGCATGATGGGTAGGACTAGCCATTCATCTGCATACAGCTCAAGTAACATGGACACAATTTGTTGGCATGGTGATTGTGGGTATATAGATGGCTGTGGGTGGAGCTTCTCTAAATAGTGAATGATTTCAGTGGAATCTTGAACGTATTTCTGTTCTGGTGTGACAATCACCGGAATCACTCTCCATCCCACTGCAGGCGTCAGGATCTCTTCATTAATCTAAATTCAAAAGAAGGGTTTTTGAGGGGGAATTTATTCAAGCGAGGCAGTTATTCAAGGCAGGTTTTAATCTATTTATAAATAAATAAACCCTTCTTAATTTAACTGTAAATGTGGAACTACAACACATAATTGCCTTCATAATGTGTTATTTCACAATCATGAATGTTAGAAAAAAGGTAATTCTACTAGAGTAAACATTAATAGAATGTGTTGAGAATGAAGTTGCAACCATTTATTAGCGGGGTGGGGGTGGGACTACAGTTGACAAGTGCATTACATAAAGATAATTATATTGTCTCATGAAATCTAGAAAACTTGAACAATTAAATTATCATAACTTTTCGCTCGCTCATTATTTAAGAAATTCATATATTATACCTAAGACGAGACAGTTGTTATAATACCTTATTTAGCGAACCAACCGACTGCAAATATTGATGATTTGGAATAAAACTAAAATTTCATTATTGGCCAATTAGCGCACCCGCCGCCACGAAAAATTGGAAATTTCAGAAAAAAATAAATGTTTTTCTTTATTTCTATTACACCCTACGCTGCCTTGAAATCTCCAGATATAAGATATGTATATTTCTTCCAAATTATATAAATTTGAAGCATTTAAACATCCTATTTTACATTCACTAATAAAATTCTACTTTCTTTTATTTTCTCCTCCATCTGGCAAAACTATTTTCTAGATAAGAAAACAAAATTTTTTTTTTATTCCGCCCTCCTCCGATGATCTTTAAAAAATATAAGTACATGAAACAAGAAATAAAAAAAGTCTCGATAAATAAAAATTTACTGCACTACAGCTTCAATTGTTTTTAGTGGAAAACTGAAAAGCATAGGCCTAGGCCTAGGTAGGGCGTATTAAGAAATATAAATATTTTGATATTATTTGTACTTACTTATACCTCCAACTTATTCAAATTCTAAATGAATGACAAACGTATATCACCAGGTGTAAACGATTAATACTGTTCTGTACTAACTATGCCTAGGCCCCTACTAGGACCCCTAGTCCTTGATGTAATGATGTCTACTAATCTATCCAGTCTGTGTGCTAGGCACAGACACAATCAGTAGGCCTACATCATCGACCCTTCTCCTCCAGCTAGGCTATACAGTAGTAGTATTTAAGTAGTAGTAGGCTAGCTTAGAGCTGGGGCTTAACCAGCAAGAGTAATTTACACAAATCAATCGTGATGTTGGTAGTCTATGAGTGAGATACTTACCTGGATAACCGACTAATTGCCATTGTTCCCAAAACGGAACACCCCTTCGAAAAAAAATGGAACAGTCCGACCCAAGGCGCCACGTGCGAACCGTCTCCCTAACAAACGTCCTCAT